TTAAAGTACTAGATTACCAGAAGTGATGAATGCGCAGCAATCGTGCAAAAAATTTCAGTATCCCAAAAGTGGACGAAGAACTAGGAGCGCAAACAAGATTCGAGCCGGTAGCAGTGGAAGCACGCCCAGCAAAGGCGAAATCGAAAATGCGCAACAAGCTGAAATGGAAGACGGGCTACAGTCCGATGCCCGAAGAATCCCCTCATGTATCAGCGAAAGCCTCAGGATCGGACAAACCGTTACATCTGAACATGATGATTGGCCCTGATACAGCTCCGGTGAAAGAGTCGACCACTGAAGAAGAATCTTTAACGAAAGACAAGGCTCACAGTTCAGATGATTTGCAGAATCCGCAGCAGTTTCTTTGGGTTTTCACTCGAAAGGTGCTGGAGGAGCTACTCATCTGGCTGATCATTTTTATCATCCTTATAAACCAAAGGATTCAACGGTAGGGTCTTATCTCCTGCAACTGGCCGATCGTCCGTATCACTCTTATCTCATCGGCAACAACAACTTCACGGCTCTCGATGTTTCAACGGGTGTTTTGTATAAAAAAGAAAAGAAAAACCATGGCAAATTCCTGGATGTCGGCATTTTATTTCGGCTGATGTGCGTTCTTTGCTTTGGCGCTTTTCACTAGCGCACGAGCGATATGATGCGGCGACGGTGCTTCTCGGCTAACTCTCCTTGGTGAACACACATCGAAAGTTCCATTCAATTACTTTTTTACCAACGGCAAATATTGTTTAATGGGCGCTTGTACAAATGAAAAAATCTACTTATGCTCTGCGTCATGCCACTCATCATATAAAGAATGTTGCTCATCACACGTTGTGTCGTTGCAACATGTGCGACTGGTCTTGTCAAAACCCTTTCCGTATTCACTCTCTGTGAAAGGTTGAGGGAATAGCCTGAGTGATAGTAAGTGCCAACAACAGCTATCTGTTAGCAAGACTGTCGATGGCTTTTTCTTTGGAGGGTTGCTTACAAGCAAGCAAGCTGATGACTGGTTTGATTCCTTAGCATGTATCTAATTTGCCATTGCCATATTTCGGTTGAATTTTGAGTTCGTTGTTTCAGATTTTTATATTTTTCCTGACGCAAAAAAAATTTTGGCTTCTGTCAGAACTAAAAGAATTCTCCACTTTTTTCAGTCTTGGTTCCTCACTTGAATTCTTGTTA